CCAAGCGATGGCTTAGGAAGGCCATTCCAATTTCAAATCCTGAAAGTTGTAAGATTTTCCTGTGACTTAGAGTGATTTATAACATGGTTTAACCTCTCAAAGCCTCCATTTCACATCTGTAGAATATGGATAAAACTATCTCAAAGTGTTATTGTGCAAGTTAAATGAAAAAGATAGTGTATGCACATTGTTTGGCACTAAGCTATTATTATTATCAAAAGTAGTAGCAATTAGTATTATTGTTTAAAGGAGAAAATGATATCCACTGGGAGGCTCCTCTCTGGACCCGAAAGCTTAATATCTGGAATTACTTAGAACTGGAATGCCAGCCTCCCCCTCCTGCCAGCAGCCTGCTGCCAATTCTGATGAGACAGCTTAGAAACCATTGCCCTGATGCCATAGAAAAGATTAGGACAGCTAGCCTTTTCCTTTCTCTTCACTCTTAATTTAAAAAGGTTGGGCAAGTTATACATCCACCCACCTCCAAACCTTTCAAACAAGTTTCAGTTATATTCTTGCCAAGTAAAAAAACCAAAAATTAATAAGAGAACTTACTTAAAATAAAAAGTTGTTAACATCTTGATACATCCTGGCTTATCCAGTTAAGAGACTTTACAGAATGGTTCATGATTTCTACACCAAATTCTTTCTTGTACATTTTGTTTACACCCCACCCCTTCCTTAGCCTCAACCTCATGAGTGCAAATGGAAATCAGCCCTGGCTCCTGGCCTCCCATGACTACTTGGAGGTGGAAATCGTTAGTCTGGAGTGGGATTGAGGGCCCCTGAGGCAGACTGACACTCAGCTGATGCATATCTAATACTGAGCAGGCTGTGACCAACCACACTGAGGACATGTATTTATGCAAGTATGCTGTAGGGGGTGGTCTTCCTCATACGTGAGAAAACATGGAAGCAAAGTTCATTTATCCCATCAGTTGGCTGCTTCTCACCATTCACCTGGGCCCTGCAATGCCGAGAAAATAGGATGTATTTTCATCTCCAAGCAGACTGTGCTCCAGTCAATTTAGAGACACAGAGCCACAATATAATTCAATTTGGGGTGATTCCACTGCCTCTGTAACGTCTAAAGCCCTAACGTACTGCTGACTCTTAGGACAAACTGGCACTGATCAAGAGTGAGGCTACTAAGCCATCATTGATTTCAGACTCTCACCCCTGACTTTCTATGTATGTGTTTATAGACAACACTTAATATTTCACAGAACCCAAGTTGCACAGGACCGAAGATGACCTAAATGGCCATGTAGTCCATGTGCTGCCAAACACCTGGCAAATAGTTACATTGTTGTTAAATAAGCACACCCCATATCCAGGAACTCCTGGACAAAGACTGACCATTCCATCTGGAGCTCCTCCAACTGTTAAAAAGCTCTGTCTTGAATTTGGCCAGTGGACATCCCTGCTGAGCCCACCTTTAGTCCAGATGTTACCTTTCTGGATGTTCGTTCACGCATATGTAGCTGCAAACGTTTTCTGACAGCTTGATATTGCTAGGCACTGTGCTGGGTCCTGAATCAATGGGTGATAAGGGTAATCCCACTCCCAGCAGAGACACTGACAGCCCCTCCTAGACATGGTCCTGGGTTCTCTCATTCCCCTTGTCTCTCCCCACTGAACTTGCACTAACTGTCCTATGTCACTCTTTAAGTGTAGGCCCACAATTGATATTGCAGTCTGTTTAATGTGTAACAAATAAGTCCTCATTTGTGACCTGTTTCAGAAAATGCAGCCTAAGATTGGGCAGTCATGTCACCTTCCTGTTTAATTTTCTGTTCATATGAGGCAAAATAGCTTAAGATTTAAAAAAAACTTTTGGCATTAGCTAGCCCTGGCACAAGCATTTGTTCCACCTCTTACCTTGGAGAGCTGGGCAAATTGTTCAATCTGTCAAGACATTTTTTTTAAAGTGTACCATGGGGACAGCTGGAAGGAGTAATGAGGCAGTGTATATACAGCACCTGACCTAGTCATGGCTCATTAAAAGCTGCTATTCTACATCTCATTGCTGTCATCTCCAAAACGCTGAAGTCCTTTTCACACGTGCTGCTGCTCCATCAAACCCCCAGGTGTTTTGGAGAGGACTGGATGGAGGTCCTAACACCTTCAAGATCTAACCCATCACCTTAACCTGTTCTTTGGCATCCTGGAGGTGTCCCATAACCTATTGTCATCTCAGCCCCATGGCATTTGGAGCTGTGATCAGGATATCCTCTGTATCCTCATCTGAGTAAAGTATGACCAAGTCAGTTCAAGGGCGGCAGCCTGGGGTTTAATCCTGCGACCTCCCTTCTAGATGAGTATCCATTTTTTAATTAGTACTCTTTGGCTGTGCTTATTCAATCAGTCACAACCTTGTAATATCTCCAGACTGTTTTATGAAGTCCCGTCAGGATGAAATTCTGGCTACCTACTATTTCTGTATTATCTTCTTTAGGAAACATGCTGTGTGGCTATAGAACATGAAAAAACCATTTCTTTTTTCCATAAAGTTTCTACATGTAACATGCTTCCTGCAGAAGTTTGTAATTCACATCTTCTAGCGCAAATTATAATCAGGTAACATTATGACTTTCTCCAACAGAATAATAGTTTAACATTTTTTTGTGAGAAAATAATTATGTTTTACTCGGTAAAGTGAGTTTAAAATTACAAGTTAGAAAAGTTTATCTAGTTGTTTCTGTATAGCATTAATCTGGGCTGCTTTGTTAAAAATTTATTTTATTTTTGAATCAGGGTTTCACTCTGTCACCCAGGCTAGTGGTGTGGTCACAGCTCACTGCAGCCTTGAACTCCTGGGACTGCAGTTGTGCACCACCATGCCCAGCTAATTTTTGTATTTATTAATTTTTTTGTAGAGACTGGGTACTGTTATGTTGCCCAGGCTGGTCCTGAGCTCCCGGGCTCACGCGATCCGCCCGCCTCCGCCCTTCAAAGTGTTGGGATTACAGGTGTGAGTCAACAAGATTTCTTTAAATCAAGGTTAAGATAAAGAGAAGGCACAGAATTTGATGTATTTTTGAATAGTCCAAAGTAATTTTTATTCTCTAATTAGTCTCCTCATGACTTTATTTGAATGAAGTAATGAGAGGCTAATTAAACCAGCTTTAAAAAAGTATATTTTCTTCTCTTTCTCCAGGCAGTGGGTCACTTTGCAGCACTGCAGAACACCTGTGCTTTCCCTGTGCCCCCCATCACCTTCCCAGCTCCCGAGCTGTAGCCATCTCGGCTGCACCTGCTGTCAGAGGGCAGCTCCTCGGGCTCCTGCTCCTGGGCTGCAGGTGCTACCTCTGTGCAGAGGGCTTAGGAGGAGCAGTGAGCCTTCTAACTGCAGCAGTCCTGACAAAGCAGTTTGTGAACCCCTCCGGGACATAAGGGCATCAAACTAGGAACAAAAATAAAGTCTCGACTGTGATTTGGCGATTTTACCACATACAAGGCCCGAAAGACAATTAAGACAAGAAAAGAAGACAAATCCCTTGCCAGCAGGAGTCTGACTGTACAGGAGTCTGATTGTACAGAAGTCTGATTGTACAGGAGTCTGAGTATACATCAGGGCAAGCCAAGAGACAGGGAGAAACAGAGAGAAAAGGTTCATGCAATTATGAATATGACCTGGAGGGTGTTTTGGAATTAGATTACAACAGGAACAGAGAATTAATGCCATTTTGAAACAATTTAAGAATTATGTATTTGAAGGAACTCAGTATTATCATGTTATCCAACATTATCCCAGTTGCTCATAAGACTTGCTAATAACCTGGATTGGGGGTGGAGGGTTGAGGGATCTAACGGAAAACATCTGTTAAAATTGAATATGATAATCATGTCTTGTTTTTATGATCTTGCTCATGAGACAGTCTTGAAAGAGAGAACTGAGTGATTATCCAAGTAAATGTGTATTTCTATGCAGAATATAGGTGTGTCTTGACTTTGCATTCCAAAATAAAAATGACTGATCTTTTCCATTAGCACAGTTTGGGTCAGCCTAACTGCCAGCTTTCATGATTGTATTTATTTATTTTCCCTAAGGAGATACAGGCACTTTGTGGGCCTTCCCAGGCTGCTGCAAAATGATGGATGGTTGGGCTCTGTCTAATCCAAATGACACGGTGTGTCGGGAGCGTTGGTAATCGTATCCTGCCGACTTCAAAGCCCACTGCCAAAACATCCACAGCACAGAGGTTTGGCAACTTCACATAATCATAGCAAAAGGATTACAACGTGAAAAAACAGGCCCTGAAATAGCTATGAAAAGGGCCAATTCAGAAACCGATTCAGCTAAGATGTTTAGGCTAGCGCCTTCGCACGGTCACCTTGTATTTTCACCTTTGAGTTGCCTTCACCTGGACTAAGGTTGGCAGCATTTGTGAGGCAAAGAAAAGATGCCCAGGGAAACTGGCTCTAGATTATAGAAATAAACACTGTCTTCAAGGGATAGCCAGCGTATCAGGTTCAGGACTCGTAAATCCCAAGCCACAGCGCCCAGGTAACTGATGTAGCAAGATTAAAGCTGTCTACCTAAGTGAGATCTCCTGAAAGAGAAACCGCATGGCAAATCTAGAAGTTGTCCCTTGTTTCGGTAAAGTGAGAAATCACAGCTATCCATGACACTTTATTTACCAGTAATAATACAGTTTGCATTATGAGCGGTAGCTTGTTCACCATTCAACAAATGTTTTTTAATCACAGCAGGAATTAAGGGTGATTTGTGACCAGGTGCTGAACTAGAATTTCTCAATGACAACCCCAGCTTCCTAGGCCTCTTTCCATTCCAGGCATAAATATGGAGGCTCCGATGTGGAACCTGGGGTCCTTCTGTTCCAAAAGGGGCTAGAAATAAGAGAGATGAGGGTGAAAGAAGGACCTGCAGAGGCTGACACCGTCTGGGTACCAAACATCCTGTTTGCTTGACTCTCCCTTGCACAAGTTCCTGGACAAAGTAAAATTATAACACAAAATCCACAACATCCAGCACATGTTTTCATTAAGCAACTTTAGTCACTAAAAAAAGTGCAAATGCAGACTCCTGTATAAATCTGATTTGCCATGCTAGGCCAAGCTTATTTTATTACATACATTCTGCATTCTAAGAACTAATAACTTCATATTGTAAACATTAAGCATACAGAGTTAAAATTCAAGGCCACATTATATCATTGATTGTCTCTTTTGTCGTGTGTCTTTGGCTGGCCGAGATCAACTCGTAGTGTATAAATGCATAAGTTATATAATTATTATATAAAAAGGGGGGGAAAAACATTGACTTGTATACTTCATTCTGACAAACGCACAGCGTTCGCGACTCAAAGGAAAACTGGAGGCCGCCTACCCAAAATGCCTGCGTGATTTCTGACTGTGGCAGCCAGGAAGGCCATCTCTTACCTGACCCTGTGGAGAAGAAAGCCCCCACATAAAGATGAGGTCCTGAATGTTTCTCTTAAATATCAGACAATTCCAGTTAAAATTTTCATTTGACAAACAAAGAAAGAGATGCACATTTTTGTTTCTGAATTCTACTACTTCCCCTTTCTCCATTATGCTGTGTCCTTTCTCCTAACACTGGGTTTGGTATAACACTGACTGCATGAACCCTCAAGTCTCCGTAACTCATTGTACACAGTCCCCAAATGTCCTGAGTCCAGTCTTCATTGCTTGAGAAGTTTCTTTCCCAGCCCTGGTCTCCTCCTTCTCTGCCTCCTCCTCCTCCTCCTTCACCCCTCTGTCTACGGTCACACGCTCACTCTATACACATCCTCAGTCCCACCTTTAGTTCACAGTCCCGGTAATACTGTAAAGGAGTTGGAAACTTTGGGTCATCTTCACAGTTTGAGAAAGCTGACAGCTGTCCATCAGACGGAATGTATTTGATTTCAACCAAAACAGCACATGCCGTGCAGTTGCGTATCAATGTCTGTTGATGGGCCACAGTCTCTCTCGTGTCTTTTCTCTTGTTTTTGATATGTTTCTATTTTTAAATACAGGTAGTTTTCCTTAAAATGGCATTATAAACGGTATGTTAGGTCAAAACTGTGTTGTTTCTATTGCTTTAGTTTCATCCCAGTTTGCATTAGTGGGATTCCAAACTCTACTCTAAAGTTTATACATTTCTTAAGACCACTTTCTTTGGCATTTTGTCCTTAAGACTTCATGCTTCTACATACACTGTCTTTTACAAGGTCAGTCCACAGATGATATGTCCGTATTTGTGACATTTTTAGCATCCTCCTCATTTCTGTAGTAAGACTTCAGTAACTCCCTCCCAAGAGTCTTTGGATCTCTTCCCCGGCTTCCTTCCCCAGCCCCAGTAAAGCTTTTTTCATTCCTCTTGAGGCACTTTTGATTCATGTTCTCCGATAGAGCTTGTGGTGATGGGCTGGTGAATGCACGCTGATGGGAAAGGCCTCCATCAGGTGTTTAGTAGTAAGTGCCCAGATGAGAAGGCATATGGCTGGTGGGGAGCCTAGTGTTAGGGTATATACCCCCAGTTGGTGAATTCCAGTATGGGTTTGGGGCAGCAAAAAAACTGGAAGATGTCACGGGGAGGGCTGGAGGGTGGGGTGCCACAAAGTTCATCTTCTGCGGGTGGGCGTGATAGGAGCCCATGTACGGGAGGTCTGAGGGGTACTTGTACAGAGATGACTCCGGGGGGTGGGGCTGGAGGGCCTGGGCGATCCCGTGGAAGTCGAACTTGTAGGCGTAGCGCTTCCCGTGGACCTTGGTCATGATGTTCTTGTCATAGTAGTAACGGAGGGCGCGGCTGAGCTTATCGTAGTTCATATTGGGTTTGCTCTTCCGCTCTCCCCAGCGCCGGGCCACCTCGTCGGGATCCGTCATCTTGAACTCCCCGTTGGTGCCTTCCCAGGTGATGCAGCTGGAGTTGGAGCTGTCCGACAGGAGCTCCAGGAGGAACTGCCAAAGCTGGATCTGGCCACTGCCTAATGAGATCAGGAGAGGAAGGAAAACTCCAGTGAGCACAGGTTCCAGGGGAAAGAGGCCCTTTGTGATGAGGGAAGGAGGTGCTATTGGTGTGTCGCCCACATTCCCTTCACCAGGCCTGTCCGTCCATCCCTCAGCTGCAGGGGTGAGGACTGCTCCCATTCCATGGCCACCCATTTCTCCAGAGAACTGCCCTTGCCTTAACAGAGCCGCCGCCTCACCCAACCCCAGGTATCCCACAGTTGGTGGACTGAACAAGGTAACATAGGCCGGCCCCCTTGCCTCAAGGAAAGACCAACTCCATGACGCTATTCAGGCTCCAGGGCTCCTGTGGGATTGGGCTGAAACAGCGTCCAGCTGCAAGGAGGCTTGGAGGAGGCCAGAAACTTCCTTAGCGCTGCACCTGCCCTGTGCTTCTTCCCATTCTCTCTCTCCTGAGAACATGCCGTTAATCATTCACCTGCACAAGCATCCTTACCCCAAGCTCTGCATCTAGGGAACCCGAGCCAGGATGATGGTCTAACAGATTCAAGACCTAGATGGAATGCAGGGAACTCATATGGGGCAGAGTTCAGGCTGGTTCCATCCATTTCTGACTTCCTTAAAAGAACAGCCAGATCAACCTGGTGTTTAGAGGATGAAAGAGCTGTATTTTTTCCCCCTATTTTGTGAAGCAGAAAAGTACTGTTATGTGGATGGCAATAATGACTTAATGCCATTTATATTGGCTGGGTCAAGTAAGATAATAAAAGTTAGATTTAGGAAATGAACTTCTAAAAGTTTATGGAAAAAAATTGAGAATGGAAGTAAACATCATTATTTCTAACATAACATTTTGCTGGCGCTCAGAAAGCAATTCTGTCAAAACTTTTCCTAGAACAGAATTAACCCACTCAAAATGAGGAAGTTTAGGAAAAAAAAAAAAAAAAGCTGGCTCTTTTTCAAACCCGATCACCCAGTTCCAGTATTTGGGCAAGGGCATCGTAACGGAAACCAATGCGTTGCCTGTGCCCTGCAATGCCAATTGTGTCAAGCGGCATTTCCAGAAGAAAAAACCCAACAATGAGTGATTGCAAGTCCCCTTGGGAAGCTGAATGAGACTCTTCCTTTGTCAAAGAGATCACATTTAGCTGGGTGGACAAAGTCAGAATTTTCTTGATTTCACTGAGAGCATATAGATATGGCTTTGTTTAATGAAATTCAAAGAAAAATCTAGGCACAGCTAGCTGCTATGTCACAATACTTGAAGATAATTTATGGCTCCCTAGAAGACAGCAGCATGTAAATATTGACAATAGTATCAGTACCGAGAGAGGCTAAGCTCTGCTGAGCATATTTCATAAGCGTAAGAATGGATGGGAGGTGGGTCCTTCCTCCTGAACTCCAGTTATAGCACTGCCTTAGACTTATTACCAAAAGATTACCTTTTATTATATCGTAAGTAATATCATTCAATGTGATAAAATGATTAAAGTAACTTTAACTGACATCTACTCAGGGAATTAACATAATGTAAAAATCAACTTTAAGATCGTTTTCTTCTAAATCCTTGCTAGCCTCCTCTATATATCGCCCAACTCATAAACCCTTCTTTGCATGTTGGCTACATGGAAATGGATATATTTGTGAATTTATCCATACAATAGCACTGTGAGAAAGGTCAGCTTTTTCTGAATCTGTTCTGGAAAGTGCTCATTTTCAGTCTAGCAGCACATTTGAAATGTATTAACAGCTTGTAGCTCATTGCAGTGGAAGCCTTTGCTTTTTCAGAACCACATATACACACTGTTCCCAATCAAGTTTCGTTGCCTGCAACATTTCATTAATATGCGTTTAGAAAACACAAAGAATGGTATGAGAAAACCATATGGTCTTAGTATATATATTGTAACCAAAAAATTACAACTTGAAAAAAATTCCATAGATGACCTGGGAATAGGAAAAGGCATGGATTTTTGATTTAACAGTCTTCACAGATGCTTCAATATAAACACATACGGTTGTTTGAAAATAAATATTCAGCGTCAACTTTCTCCCATAGAGAAAGCAACTCCACAGACCTGCCGAAATCACACTTGGAATCGACTCAAACCTTGGCACTGCCTCTTAGCAATTTTTCCCTCACCCACTTCTTTTATAAATGTGTGTAGGACAGAACCAGTGGACAAAAGTGATCTCACGTCTCTCCTATTTCTGAAGAGTTAGAAAGCAGGGGACCTAAATTCGTGGCAGCAAACTCAATGCCCAAAGGATAGATGAGCTAGTTTCTCACTTGACTATTTTACCCATTAGCCATAAAGACACAGGGCTCAGGACTGTGAGCATTTCCAGGGAGGGTCTATAGAAAGAAGAGACCTGTAAGCAAAATTCATCAGCTTTCAAACCTTGAAAGAAACCTGGAAATGCAAAATCAATGAATGTTTAAGTAAATGGTAGAAAATGTAACATTATGTCAAACTCATTAACTGTTAAATTTAATATTTGTAACGAAATTCACTGCATTTTGCAGTGTGTAGAACAAATGTTCTCACCACAAGAATTCTCAAAAATGAACAATGGTTGTTAAAAAATTGTCAATGGTAAAGGAGTTATTCTCAGTCATAAAATTTTAAGAGCAATTTTTAAATTCTTATTTTACTTCCAAAACAATAACATTTAATGTGTGATGAGGTGCATTTTAGAATATAGAGATTTCAAAACAAGAATGCTTAGGGTTAAGGAAAGCCTAAAAGTGGCTCCGGTCACTCATGGGCCAAACCAGGGTTTACAAAGAGAAGCTCTTGAAAGACAAGAGCTTTCACTGAGTAGCATCACCCAAGAAAAGTAAACCCTTCAGATCTATTTTTGTTTTACTCTATCTTAATAACATCCTTGCAATGTCAGTAAGGAGCAACTAGTTTTTTCTTAGGGTAATTACCAAAATGAAACAGATTTGGGGGTAAAAAACAGTGGCAAGCAGCACTGCCCACCTACGGAGAACCCTGTGGATGAAAGGGAGTGGCTGTGGCTTTTAAGAAGACAGAAGGCACTCCTTTAATTTTACAGAGGAAAGAAATCTCCTAATACTGTTAAAAGAAAGGGAGAGAAACAGGGTAGCAAAGGCATACAGACTGAGCAAAAATGGGCCAAAAAAAAAAAAAAAAAAAAGAAACCCGAAACGGTTTACAAACCACAGAGCAAAGCAGAGAGCTGCAGAGTGACTCAGCAGCTGTGCGTCTGGTGGAAACAGCAGCCTGCTGCAAAGCCCCGCAGCCGTCAGCTGATGAACACGGGCAGTAAATACAGTCGTGAGGGGCCCCGCCAGTTCCACGGTGGCAGTGGTTTGAGGCCACTTTCTCTAGAAGCCAGGGGTGGTGCAGAAGATCCCACGTGCATGGCCTGGACCCTCTGCAAGGCAGCAGGTGTGTCCTGAATGGAAGTCTCTGCCCCGAGGCTCAGTGAGGCTCAGGCATCACTTACTGGAGGGGCAGAAAAGCATGGTGGCAGGGAGTACCAACTTTGGAGTTGCCACTGCCTCAGTTGAATCCTGCCTCTGCCCTTTGTGGGAACTTTGGCAACTCTCCCAGCTGTCTCTGCCTCAGTATCCTCATCTGTAAAGTGGGCATGATGGTAACAGTACTATCTTGCAAGATCATGGTAAGGATGAACTCAGTACATGAATGGTCTTGTCATCATTTCTTTGGGCTGAAACTGAGTTTAAGGAAAGATAACACTCCTTTCCTATAGCCAGGAAATGCCCAAAGAAAGAGAAATACTGTTCAATTGGCCTTTTGAACCATGAAGAAACTTGAAAAGGTGCTGTTCTTGGGCTGACTGATATCCTCTGAAGGCTTACTGTGTGCCATGCACCATTCTAAATGCTTTACATGTGTTGATTTATTTAATCCCCACAGGAATCATGTGATTAGCCCACTGGAGAAGTGAGGAAATTGGAGGTTAGAGAGGTAGACTGACGTATTTTTCTCAGCGCTGGCAAGGGTTGAAATCCAGACCCTAGGCTGCCATGCTTAATCACTGCGCAAACTTGCTTTCAGGCCTGGTTTATGCACACCTCTGCAGCCTCCCCAGGTCCTTTCCATGTTGTCGCCTCCCTGGGGGGCTCCCACTGGAAGACTGCACACTCCCACCTCCTAACAAATGCCAAAACATCCCTAACCTGGTCTGTCGTTCTGCAAGAGGCAGGATGCATTTTCATGTGCACCACTGAAGAGTGTTCAGTTAGCATCAAGGGAGCCTCTGAACATAACCCAACAAAGCTCTTTCATTAGAGGAACCATGTTAGATTCTCAGCTGCTCTGATGGCACGTAAAGGAGCTGTGTTGCTTATGACCGATCCATGATACCAGAATGCAGGGACACACTGTTCTCAGCAGGAGAAGTGATGTCCAAAGTGCACATCAAATGAATATTTGGGATAGAGATGCTGGGATGATGACATCATCTTGTGCATTCATACTATATGATGCAATCTTTCCACTTAAAATGAGGAAAAGGAATTTGTATTGTATGAAAAGCAAAGACAGCAATTTGTAAGTGATGAAGGATTTATTTATCAGAGAATAGAAAAATAGAATCAAACAGGAAGAAGCATTCTAATTAATACAAAGATAAACGACATTCTGGTTTCAGGGGAACAATTCACACGAGCACAACAGACACAAACCTAAGGACAGATGGAGAGAAAGTCGCATTCATCATAAACTAAATGAAATAAACCTTTATCTTAAAGTCACTTGGCTGCAAATCAAAGGTAGGATGTTGCCATTTTCTCCAGGCCCATTAAAAAGAGTCTTAATGGTATGAAGCGCAGTCCTGTTTCCCCAGGCCTGTGATGAGTTTCCAGTCTCCCTGCTCTGACCTCAGGACCCTCTATCTACAAAGGGCATCCCCAGGCTGCTGGGCCCAGGGCAGGTGCGGTGTTCCCTTGTGAGAATTGGCACTCTGCTTAGGAGCAAGTGACTCTGGCCCTGTTCTACAAACAAGCCAAGCAGTACCTTTGGGCTGTGACAATGTGGTCATGGACATATATATTTCATTTGGCCAATGTGTTAGTGCAAAGGCCAGTTTAGTCTTCTTTGGTGCAGCTTGACTCTTTCCTCCTCTTCCTTCCCGACCTCAGATTCATCGCCTGCACCTAAGCAGTTATTACCCTGAAAGGAAATCCTTGCTTTCTATTCTCACAGTCTGCATTTTGTAAGACCTCCTCTTCCCTTCATACTTAGTCAGCGGCAGAGTAGGGCAAGAAAACAAAAGCAGACTTTGTAGACAGAGTTAGGTTACAAATCTGACCTCCCTTATCATTGGCTGTGTGACACAGGAAAAGTTACTTAACTTCTCTGGACTTCTAATTCCTCTCCTGTAGGATGGAGATAGTAACCTCCCAGGGCTGCCATGAGGCACAGAAGGGACCACAGACATTCTATCGGGGGCATTCTGCGGGGTGGGAGCTGTTTGATTGTTATTTCACATGATTGTATTAACATTCCCAGAGTGTTTCAGCTTCCGTCATTTTCTTTTTTCTAATCTATCCTAACATTGCTGCCAGATCAGTCTTCCTGAAGCATGACTGATAATAATCATCTCAAAACATAGTGATTATTTGTATTTGAATGGTTATATGGCAGAGTTGCAAATGAAAAGCTGAGTAGAAGGCTGAGAAGAGACCACAGCCTCAGGAGCCTGGGCTACTAGATGAAAGCCAGCATGAGCAAAAAGGGCCGGTGGCTCTGTGTTTGGGACAATGTTGTAACTCCCTGTGTCCATCTCTCCAGCGACCGAAAGCTCCCTGAGCTAAAGGACTATATCTCGTTATCCTTGCCTTTCATGTATGCAACAAATAATTATTGAGCACCTAGTCTAGGCCCCAGGCTAACTAGTTTTCTTTAGATTTTCAGCTGTAAAAAAATTTCATTGAATTCATTAACATTAACCAAAATTTAACATCAAAAATACAGATGCTCAAAAATGATAACGTTTCATGTTTTCAATGTGTAGATTCTCTTGCGGGGATGTATACTGATTAAATCTGAATTATTCCATTTCCAACCTTATTTTGGCCTCATCATTTAGGAAATATAATTCCATCTTTGCTTGCAATATACCTGTAACATCTTGGCATTTGAATTTGCAGTTGGGAATATGCAGCATAGGCTACGAATTTCTGAAGTTGGTGCCAGCACAGCTGGTTCTGATCTGAATACAAACAAATTAAACTATGTAGTTGGCACTGAAACACTAGGACAGGTGACAAACCTTGGCAATGCACTGGTTACAAATGGGCTAATTAAGAATCTGCTCTTTCTTGTAGCACTGAAGTTCAGAAACAGACCATCGAAGATGAGCCTGAATTTGAAGTCTTGTGGTTGTATTAAGGCTCTCTTTTAAAAAATACTAGTTATTTTATCTGCTTGTATAATGGGTTGAATTGTGTTCCCTCAATTCCCTATGTTGAAATCTTAACCCGCAGTATCTGAGAATGTAACCTTTTTATGGAGATAAGATCCTAAATAAGGTAATCAAGTTACAGTAAGGTTACAGGGTGGGTATTCCAATCTGACCGACATCCTTATGCAAAAGAGACATTTGGACACAGCGACTGACACACACAGAGAGATGATGATGAGAAGAGACACGAGGAGATGATGGCTATCTGTAAGACAGGGAGAGTCCCCAGGACAGATCCCTCCCTCACAGCCCTCAGAAGGAATGAAACCTACTATTGGGACACTCTGATTTCAGACTTCCAGCCTCCAGAACTGTGAGACAATAAATTGTTGTTGTTTAAGCCACCTAATCCATGGTGCTTTGTTACAGCAGCCCTAAAAAACTATTACAGCTTGGATTAGGTTATAATGTTCTTTGCTGAAGCTGAAATCCTAATTTATAACCCGACCCATTTTTCCATTAAGGCAAATAATTCAGTGAGACCTAAAACTAAAATTTGTTCAGTCGAAGGAATTTCTCACCAATACCAATTTACTTTTCAAAATAGCCACTGCCAAAAAGGTAACTTTGTAAGAAGAAAGTCATCAGCAGTTTCTCACCTGGATTTGCAAGGCGGCTACTTGTTGGTCCAAGAATCTGATAAGGATCTACAACAAAAAGAAACAAAGTCAAATCCTAGACATAGTTGTGACATAGTATGATGTGACTTCACACGTAATGCCTGACTCAATTGTGTTTTCAGATTTCAGAGCTGAAAATGTCCCCCAACTCCAAATCAACTGCCTCCACCTCTTCTATGAGAGAAGATGTCACACAGCATCTCAGATGTCTTGCTAGGGGACTCCTAGTTGGTGGCAGGGCTTGGATTCCATCCCAGGATCCCGACACGTAGCTCAGGGCTCACACCAACCAATGACATAAAGAGGGCAAACATGTGCCAAGCCCCATCAATCCAGGGCTGCGCAGGCTGTGTTGTTCGGGCATGGAAAGTAAAATTAAAAAAAAATAATGGATCACAAAGCAGCAGCCTGTGTGCAAGTAGAATGTTTTTTTCTATATTTATTGCATAGTTGGGGATGTGTTTTAGCACCATCTCAAGTCACCTCGCGTGAGTAGGCTGGTGACTAGGGCCCTATCTTATGTATGGAGCAGTCAAAAAGAGGCAAAAAATCATGTTAACTTCCACTAAAAAGTGATACATTTTAGAAACGTGTTGCTGAGCCTGAATCTTCTCTAATGCTTATTCAGATGGCCCCTGAAACATACCTAACTGAGGACGCTGGTCTTCAGTTTTGGGCACTGTGGAAGGAGATGGTTGAGCAGCTGAAAATCCAGAAATACAAAAGGCAATTAGCTATAACAGATTTGGTCATGAGTCTTTGATGTTGTTGTAAAATCATTCTATCAGTTAATTTAGTTATTAACATAATAGTCTAAATCAGAAGCATCTTATGGTAAGGAAAAATTTTCCTTTCTAATGAAACCAAATGTAAAAACATTGTAACAAAAAAAGAGGACATTTCCAATTATTTAAAAAATGGATACCTCCCAGTTTTTCCAAAAGTTAAAACAAAAGAGAATTTGGGATGGCTTACCAAATAGATTACAATAAATCATAGTCTAAGATAAACACATAAAGGGAAACCATCAGTCAAATAAAGTAAAGCCAGGGATACTTTTAAGCATGGCCAAGATTCAGGAAATCACCAATTATTTAATGTGTACTCAAACATCCCATGAAACATGCATTTCTGAAGGTTGAAATACACTACATCATTGCTTTATTTTTGTTATGAAATTTGTGATGACCCAAATAGAGAAAGAATCACTGCAGTTAAAGATCAATTGTACTCTGTTGTCAATGGAACAAACCCACCACGTGTTGCAAAATCACAGATTAGCCACAGAAATTACTATATACTCCATCAACAGTCATCAACTGCCTGTGACATGAAACTCAGGGCCATGGGAGCCAACACTGTACCTTTCGACTGGGGCGTGGGGTGGCCATGACCGGTCCAGGCTGATCTCCTGGGAGGCTCATACGGTAAATCTGTAAAGACAAATAAATTGACTAAAAGATCAATCGTGTAATTTTTATAAGAGATGTTTTGGTTTCTTATTTGATTTTGCATTTATTAGAATAAATTGTGTGCTAAAAAAATCTGGTAATCCAAAGAATATCCCACTAGATTTGAGTTTAATTTCCAAATCAAAATTTCATATATTATAGTGGTCTAAAATTCTCACCCGTTTATCTGAAAATTCTCATTGACAGATTCTCCCAGAGCTTGGTGACTCTTCTAATTTCCTACAATCATAAGTCAAGACCCTAATAAAAGTTTCTTACAATCTAGTTCACCCTGCTTCCACTGGGACTGATCTACATCTGTCTCTTTATTATCTTCATGACTCATTCAAAATACAGTCTACAATTTGGATGAACCAGCCCATTTTTGTTTGAGGTCTGCCCCTAAAACAATCAAATGACATTCAGCTTCTTTTTCTTCTTGCATCTCCTAGGAAATGCCTTATCTTTTTATTTGCCAGTTGCCTCTCTTAGCCAACTCTCATTTTCCCTTTATAACCTCATCAATTTATATTAAATCAGTCTTATCTGATCTAGTGATTTTCGTAGGCAAATGTCTCCCATTTCCAATGTTCTAAATAAATTTAGAATTTCTCTAAAATGAACTGCATGAAATGAATTACAGGACTGAAATAGTATTGCTCCCACAGCACACTGATGATGACCTTCTGAGCTTAAGTACATGCCAAACATTTGTTTGTATTTATAAAGTAGTATCACTTGTCCCATAAACCTTCATTTACTTTTCATATGCAAATTTAGTAACTATACTTCTGCATCCTCAGTGTGAGTCCTATTAATGATTATCAAAGCTCTACGTCATTTCAGGTTTGTTTCACAAATATATTCCAGAAACTTATTATACATACTTTTGCTAAGAGAGCATATCTCAGGCTATTTCTACATGCAATCTTATTACATAACTGTTTCAAAATTATGTCTTCTTGGATTGCTGGGTCTCAGTTCAATGTCATGTGTCATTCTGGGTCAAGTGAAGGCCATGGCCAAATATCTCGGCAGGTTCTTTGCTGCCAGACACCAGGAGATGGGTACAAAATTTCACTTGGAGGATAGGACAACACAATTGTTTTTAAGCTTCTCTTCAAACAAATATTTTAATTTTGTTTAAAACCAGCAATTTGATGGGTCAGTCTTCAAAGAACTTGACTGTGTTGCAGAAGATGTGTCTCTTCCTATTTTCATACCCCAATGAGAATAGAAATGATAGGCAGCGTGAAATTCAACACAGAATCTCCTTAATGCATTTGGTCTGTTTGGCTGCAAGCATCTTTGCTACTAGTGTGGTCTATGAAATCCTACCCTTCAGAGCTTTGGAGAATTAGATAATTTTTCTTTTTAAACTGCTATTACTCACTCCTCTCTCTCAGCTGGCATTTTTGCATTTTTGGACCTAAATCTTTCCCCACCCAGCTCCTCAGATTTTCACATTTCTGGTGTTGGGGTTACACATAGGAATTAAATCTACAGCCCCTAACAATTTACTACTGAATTTCAACTTAAGTCTCTGAGAACACTCGGCACATGGGTTCTCAGTCAGTTGCATTTTGTCAAAAAAAAAAAAAAAAGGATAGCCAGAGTTTCAATTTGCGAATTGTCTCAGAAAGAAAAATCTACTTGTGAGGCAGTCCTAGACACATCTAGTCTAATTTAGGAGCAGAAGGGCACATTAACTAAGGCCTTCTATTTACCAAATGAAAAAAAGCAAGATAATACAGAAATACGTTCTAGATCTCTGTTTCTCAAAGGGTGGTTCTGTGGACCAGCAACATCAATAATACCTGAGAACTTGTTAGAAATGCAGAATCTTACCCCAGACCTACTGCAACACAATCAGCATTTTTTTTTTTTTTTTTTTTTTTTTTGAGACGGAGTCTCATTCTGTCACCCAGGCCAGAGTGCACTGGCGCAATCTCAGCTCACTGCAGCCTCTGCCTCCCGGGCTCACGCCATTCCTCAGCCTCTTGAGCAGCTGGGACCACAGGCACCCGCCACCACGCCGGGCTAATTTCTTTTTGTATTTTTAGTAGAGACAGGGTCTCACCATGTTAGCCAGGATGGTCTCGATCCCCCGACCTCGTGATCCACCTGCCTCGGCCTCCTAAAGTGCTGGGATTAGAGGCGTGAGCCACTGCACCTGGCCTCAGAATCAGCATTTCTGGGTGACTCTGGTGCACACTGAAGTCTGAGAAAGCCTGCTCTAGACCATTGCTCTTTTCAGGAACTCTGTTTTCCTGCAGATGGTTTCAGTAATGCTATCTAGAGTGTGCAAAGACAAACTAAAAAATGGTTGAAAGAGTTCTAGATGGATTGCTTTTACCCATGGAATAAGTATGCTAATGGAACTGATAGAAGACATCAGTAGGTTAGTCAGATACTACCTTAAACAGAAAATTATTGCTCATGAAATGTGACTGGGAAAAAAAATAAATGCCTAACTACTACTCCCAAAATATTTTGAAACTCTTTATTCACAAAATCCTTCTTAGGGTGTATAACCATATCCCATCCTCCCTTGAAAATAAGTCAAAACTTAACACCAAACAGAGTTTACTTTTCAGCCAAGTATTTGAGACACTTATATGAACAATGATTAACATGTTCATAAACATATTGCCATGGAAGATATGCGGGCTTTTGTTTTCTCCCATGACATTCTGGTTCAATGCTTCCTTATCAGCTACCGATTATATGCTGTGGGCCCTGAGTACCCCGTGGGATACGACATTGGGAAACATTCAACTCAGGCTCCCTGAGATAAGGGACAGCCAGGGGTGACTGCTGTGGCAGCGACACCGTCTCAAAGCCTTAGTAGTTCTGCTCTTGACTGCTTGAAAAATCACTCCTCCATGTATCTCTGCTAAGTGTCCTTTATTGATGATAGAGCATTGGACTTCCAATAAGAATACATTTTACATTTAATTTTTGCTGATCATTTCAACACCCTCTCCATTTCTCTTTAACTTTGATCTTCAAGGTCATGAACTCATACGCTTGGCAGAAGTGCCCATGTAAGGGAAGGTTGCTTTCTGGCACTGGTTCTGCTGTTTTATCTGTAAGAGACTGTGTTTGAAAACTGAGCTTTGTAAAAGTCATTGCATAGGCAGCTTGGGTGAACATAGATGTACATTACATTACAACAGTATAAAAAACGGCATGAAGCTACAAATAGGGAGTTCGGCTAGTGCTGACCCTATACACGAGCAACTGTGTTGATTTCCTGGAAGCTGGGATCAGCTTCTCATTCTGAATGAGACTCCTCCTCCACCACACCCTTTTGAAGACATCAATCAATTAATACAACGTTCTGGCTACCCTTTCCTGGAGGGCTAAGTTCAGCCAAGTTTTACATTCTCCCTTCATCAAACTCACTGAGGAGGAACCTCTAGCTCTTGCCGCCCCCCGCCTACCCGCTTTAGTTTTTAAAGGGCAAGAATGTGGATCATGGAAGAGCTCATCCTCATTCTGCAGTATCCACACCATATCTGCAAAGCAACTCTGGAGGCTCCCTGGCTGGGCTGGAAAAAGATGAGATTTGTCTGCTCTTGAAATTAGATGCTAATGGGGAACACAAATTAGGAAGACCAAGAGCTGCTGCTGAGAACCAATCTATAAATGTCTGTGAAATGAAAAAAAAAAAAAAAAAAAAGTTTGAGTCAACCTTAACATAATTAAGTCGCCCTCTATTTTCCTCCAGATCTTCTTAAAATTCTATATCAAAGGCATGGAGATTTGGAAACATTTTGCATTCCCTTCTTGCCTAGGTTTGCAGATCCCTGTAGTTATATAACAACTAAGGGGAAGCAAAGAATGCAGCGTTAGCCATTTGCTAAGATATAGGCTTCACATAACACCTAACTGAGAGGCGCTATGCAGTAGTTGCATTGTCTCACTATGCCTAGCTGTGCTGAAAAGCACCAGGCTGTGAGCTCCAATGCAGGAATGATTTAAGATTCCAAGAAAGCCCTGAAGAGCAGCAGCTTCAAAGTGGAAGCGAAGGCTGCATTTGCAGGCTTAACTCTCTAATCTCTTTTGATAACACCCTAGAGGCGTATCATAATATATGGGTTGTCATGGGGATGGAAGAGGAAAGGATGGGGTTGCAGAACATCATCCTTGGGGTAGAACTGAGCTTTTGCATGACCTGCTCCTGAGAGGACAGGCAGGGTGGCGCACTGTGTAGTTAACAGGGGCTTGCAAGATTCTGTGGATCTGTTTTTGCCACTTTTTTCCCCTGAGACCTCAAAGGGCTATGGCTCCAAAAGAAGTGGATTCAGCAAAATAGAAGGGTGTTTGCAGAGGAGGTACAGAAAGGGATTCTGGTCACAGTAACTGCAACAATGTAAGAAACACGTGAAACATCATAAAATAATAATCATAATAAACAACAGAGTGTAACATGATATGCCTATGGGTTGATACTTATGAGAGTAGAGAAGACTGTCTCAATGTTAATTCAACAAAGGGGTCATGAAAGACAGTAAATCTTGAATCAGGAAAATGTGGGAAAACACTAGGTATGGGCATGCAAGGAAAAGGGATGAGGTTTGGACAAATGGCGGGTGGTGGTGGTGGCAGGGCATGTCCACATGTGGTCCCCTGTGAGGTCAGTGAACAGCCTTGGCCAATTGTGCAGGGAGACTGACCTGACACAGCAGCGGTGAGACTGACCTGACAGGGAAGCAGTCAGGGGGCTTTGGAATAAATGATTCATTTGGGAAGGTGGGCCATGAATAGAATAAAAGGTAGATTTGGGGCCGGGCATGGTGGCTTACGTCTGTAATCCCAGCACTTTGGGAGGCAGAGGCGGTTGGATCACGAGGTCAAGAGATCAACACCATCCTGGCCAACACGGTGAAACCCTGTCTCTACTAAAAATACAAAAATTAGCTGGGTCTGGTGGCATGTGCCTATAGTCTCAGCTACTTGGGAGGATGAGGCAGAAGAACTGCTTGAACCCAGGAGGCAGAGGCTGCGGTGAGCCGAGATTGTGCCACTGCACTACAGCCTGGTGACAGAGTGAGACTCCGTCAAAAAAAAAAAGAAAAGAAAAAAAGAAGAAGGGAAGGGAAGGGAGATTGGGGCAGTAACCCAGGGATGGGTGACTCACAGCGGGAAGGGAAGGAGGGAAGGGTGGTGAGGAAGAGCTGGGAAGGAGGATGCAGCAGGACAACACACATGTGGAGAAGGAGTCTCTGCAGAAAGGGTGTGCAATGCCGTCTAATTTAACCAGTAAACCCTGAACACCACTGTCTCCTCTATCAGGGACTCTATAATGAAATGGCCACCGTGCAGAGAAGAGACAGATTCTGGTCTAAGTAGAGTTGCCACCTAGGAGCCTGGCTTGCTTCATGGTCAGCACAATAACGCTGACCAGCGTTCGGTTCCCTGGGATGTGGGATTAGACAAAGGGTGTGGAAATGAAGATCACGGCACAGCAAAGAAAGAGTGGAGGAGACAGGGATTTGGGGTCTGTATCCCTAAGGACCTTGAAAGAAACAGTCAACAATCACCTTTCTGAAAGTAGTCAGGTACCCACTGACCACAGGGATATCGTCAGATTCCCAGTGACCTCCCTCTGGGACTCGCGCAGCTCTGAAAGTTAGTGAGGCAAAAGCTCTTCCCCCTCAGCCATCACAACGTTCATTCTCCAGTTGCAGGTTCACAGCTTTTATCTCCACAGGACCAGTCCTTTAAGGTTGATCGCTTAGCAATGGATGACCCAAGGTGTATAACTAGTTCTTATATCCAAGGTCAAGCCCCTGAATAGAGCCTACAGTAAACAGTCCTCTGGCTTGTTCAGTCTGCTTTAAATTCTTTACAGGTCAGATACCAATATTTGTATTGGTTCTCATAATCACAGTAGGCAGTGGTCAAAACAGGTTATTTCAGGTACAAACTGAGTTTCGAAAACATACTTGACTAGTAGTGGAGCTGTGGAAGTGTGCTGTCTCCCAGATCACGCTCAAATCATGGGCCCATGGAAGAGCACCATCAGAGCGGCATGGGAGGTGTCTAGGTTTGCCACCCTTGCCTTCCCTGGGCTGGGCAGAGAGGGAGTCCCAACCAACATCCTCACAGCCACCCTCTTCTCCATCCACCTGGATGGGTCATACCTTCCAAATCCACCATGTCCTAAAATGTGAAAACAAAGCAGCTCCAGGACCCACTGTCTTAACCAGGTAGCATCAGTCAGCTGGCTTGTCTGATGGACAGGTTGTGCCCATGGATTTGGCCAGTGTTGTGATCTTTTAACACAGTTTGTTACACTAGCTCACAACCCCTGGCTTTGCAACTCAGTCAGAGGCACCTATGAGATGTCTTAACATAAACAAACAAAAACAAAATTAAAAAGTAAAAAAAATTTTAAAACCCCAGCCAAATGTTTTGGAAATAGTTTTTATTTTTTTACGTATATATGGAAATATTTTTTAAATGCTCACAGAATTACAAAATCTGTAGAGCGTGAGTCAACCGTGAATTTCTATTTTCCACTTGCAATACATGGGGTGGATTTCTTTAGGACCAGTCTGGTAGACTCTAGGCACTGGGGCCTGCCCATGTTTTGATGGCCTGTGAAATCTGTTACATGACAGAGGTGACTTACTACCTCTTAGTACCTCTTAGCTAAGCCTTTCTATCATGCTTCCCAGGAGCGAGACAGCAAACTTTTTCTCTGACATTAGAGAAGAGAAAATTGCCAGCCTGAAGTCACTAGGCAGTAACCAGGGCAGTGTCAGGATTTGAACAGCCTGAGAAGCTTCCTCATTCATTCTCTTTAGCTCCCTGGGCCCCCAGTCTTTCTCATTAGAAAGGAAGAGTAGTTGTCAAGCCTAGATCTTGAACCAGTTCAGACTGAGACTTGTGTATTTCGGTTATGTGATAGAGGTGAAAGAGAAATCGCCTGAGTTTCATATGAATTCTGGAAGCATGTAGGAAGACAGATAAACCATCCCACCACCCCGAACACGATGTCATCAACTGTGAGGCTGGTACAATGATACCTAGCATATGGGGCTGCTCTAAGTCCCAGGGAGGGGGCAAATGCTTAGGGCAAGCTATACCCTTCTGTGAAATGCCCTCTCCCCCTGCTCATTATTCACCTGGTAAACATCTAATTCCCCTTTGCCATGTGGCCATTCCTCTGGAAAGCATCTTTACGCCTTTCTTGGGGCGTTGAGTTCCTCCCCGATCTTGCTCCTACAGCCTGTATTGCTAGAAGTGGTGCCTCTACCGTAGAACCTATCACATTAGGGGAAACATTTATGTGTACGTATCTGTCTCTCTGGCTCTAGGTCACTCTACGGAAACATCTAGAACTGGAGGCAAAACATTTCAGCTTGTTCACCGTCATACCACCCGTGGCTGGCCCAGAGGAGGCACTCAGCAAATGAACAAGCCAAGCTGAATGAAGAAGTGAACGTTCTGAAGACAGGAAGCTTACTGAAGCCTGGTTCGTCTTTACATTCCCAGAGTCTAACATCACGCTTGGCACTAATGGGCACTTGATAGATGTTTATTTTTGCATGAATGGCATGTAAATTAATTACCTAATCAAATCATCTGGAAGACAGGCAGTAAGATTCAGATGTAAATACTACTGATGATTGCATGCTTCTGCTCTGCAAGACTGGCTTCTTGTGACATACTGAGAATCGGTCACTGTGAATCTGGGCAGTGTCCTTGTTTTGTGCTCTTCCCCCGAGGAGGGATGGATCCTTCCGTTAGTTCAAAAGTGGGCCTATTCCTAACTGCCAGGCATCCAGGATGCCTTCTTTGCCCATCTGTCTTTCTGAAGAGCTAATTAAAGGGCTAATCTGCTCTTAATTCCTTTAGTGTGGTCTTCGAATGAAATGGTTTGAGTGGGTTTAGTCTCCAGATAAACAGAGGCAGAATAAGACTGTCTGGGACCGGCTTCAGCTCCGGGATCAGCTCTCTTTGTATCGCGTGACTTAGAGCATGGATCTCAGCAGGACATCTGGGATGTCTCTCAATGAAGAGATCACACAGGGGTGTTTTCGTACCTGGCCTAGTTGTAATTCTTTGCGTAGCTTCAGGATATACTGAAGTATTTGGGAAAATAAAAGCTGCACCCCCTGCAGACAAAAGGAAAGACAAACATGTGAAGGTCTTTTGTTGTGGTTGTCGATCTCAACATCAGCGCCAAATCTACTTTTCCCTGTGATAACAAAGGGAAGAGACCTCCTCAAACCTGCCTTAACAGAGCTCCGGAGAAATGGACAGGTGCACGTGTCAGATTCTCAAGGAGCCTTGGTGCACTCCTGTGCCCCATTTGCTATAAAGCGTTGTGTGTTTTGATTTTAAAGCTTCTTGATGAAGCCCTATCTGTGTCCCCCTCAATCCCACTTCCCACTGGGCAATCTCATTTTATTAAAAAACTATATGGTGCATGTTTTATTTTTCAATAAAAACCCATAATATATTTGTATATATTGTATAAAAACCCATAATATATTTTACATAGCTCTTGGGAAGTAGGACCAAGCAATTATAAGTATTTAGCCAAAGAGTATACAGATTTTATTAATGATTAATCCACATCTCTAGTCAAATGCGTTTTCCCTTTCTCTCTTTTGACAAAACTCATGTGGTTAGCTGAGAAAATTCCCTTTTCAGAGTTCAGTCCATTTGGAATTTGTTGTCCTGTTCATTGGTTGCTTCTGTGTTTAACAATAGCAAAATTAATAAATTTGGAGCTTTTTTTGAAACCTTCACTCTATGGTTAAAGAATTCCTAAATAAATGTGAAAATATCAGAAAATGCGCATAGCTCAAAGGTGTTTCCTAAGAAGGGGAAGTAACTTCCTCTAAGTTATCTATTATTTCTGGCCACAAGGTCATGAATAGGCTGATGTGTGCAACCAAAATTACTGAAAAAGTGTAGTACCAACTCGAAGCCGGCTTTTTAAAACTTCAGATTAAAAAGACAATGTTTTGAATAAGAAATTGCTCATTTACCATGATAAACGAGCAATTTCACTGTAATACTCAAACCGGGACTCACTCACATTTGATATTTTAAAATAAAATGGCAAATATTGGGAAAATGGCTGTATTTCTATGTGAGGGCTGACCCTGAGTTAACTGGCTGACTTGCAAGGCTTCCTGGCACTTCCTGTCTCCATCACTAGCCCGGGTGATTGTAGAGGGTCCCTGCAGCTAACAGAGTGGGGTGAGCAGCCGGTGGCCATGCTTCTGGAACTGTCTCCATCAGAAAGCAGCAGATGGATGTGAACCAGGAACACATTCATCCACAGAAAACCCAGACTCTGCTGTGATTGGGAGGCGAGGGAGGAAGGTTAGCCAGGATGAGGCATGGTGTTAAACCCTACTTAGGCTCAGGCAAAATAAATACATAAATAAGTCAAATGTACAGTCAATGGTTAGAGATAGAAAACAGGCATTTGGTTAGTGACTAATTTCATATTCTCCAAAATCATAGCAGAGGTTCCCTCTGAACAAAACTCTCACAATGTTACAGAAATTCCCTCCTGCCTTTTGCAAACACATAGTCTGTAGGAAAACAAATGAAATAGCCTAAAAGTGTATTGGAAAGGAAAAAGAAAATTCCAACTTATCCTAGCAAGTATTTCTTTAAGAATAAAAATGGAAAAAATTAAAGGAGGCTGCTAAGGGCCCTTTTATATCGAACATGCTTTTAGTGTCTACAGAGTCAGCACAGCGAATATATTGGTACTAACAGAAGAAGATTGTAATCTGGCAAATGTGAGCTAAAGTTATGGCTAAAGGCAAATTCTGCACATCTCCTGGTAAAAAAAAAAGGAACCCTTTGATAATCAAACTGGGGTGCATGGGAAGCGCTCAGAAAACCAAAGGGCGTCACCTTCCTTTAGGCTGTGGTACCTCCTAAGTATTGGAAAGCATCCTGAATCATCTACCTGTATTCTGTCTTCCTGGCACGCGCTGACTGGTTTCCCATGGAAGCATGCAACCTGTACGTAAGACCCTATGCTCTTGCTGGGAGGCAGGGGCGGGGCCAGCATTACCTGTGTTTCTAGCATGCATTAACCGTGGAGAGTTTTGTAAGGCTTTATCAACATCATCTGAAGTCAAATGTGGAAGAGGAGCTACAAAACAAAACAAAAAGTGACATCAAAATGAAAAAAAAAAAAAGAGAGAATTACCTTTCTTACAAAAAAAACAAAAGAAAAGAAAAAAGAAAAAGAAAGAAAGAAAGAAAGAAAACCATTCCCCCACTCCCACCCTAACATCATGGGCAGCTTCTAACTATTTCCATCAATCTGCTACTTGTTAGCATGTTAAAACCTACATGGGGGCCCATCTTTAATTCAGGGAAGAAGTGGTTGGGATGCCAGGCAAAGCAATGGAGGAGAATTTATTCCACCTCACTGTCACACTACTTCCTTCTCATCATGCTGGACGCTGTAGAAATTAAAGCATGCAGCAAACATTCTGGATTCATGCCAACATGCCATCCCTTTCTGTCAGGTTAAGCCCAATCACATGATACAAAGTGAAAACTTCCCTTGTTCTGTGTTCAAGTTAGAATATAAAGCGGGGCTTCGTGTAGCTTTAGGGAGAATAATCCCCCTAATTCCTACTGAAGAGGAGCCTTTCCTTAATGGTTCTATTTCAATTTGGGGTATCATGGAGACTAACTAATGTGTGACCAGTTAATGCTTCCTTTCTCTTTGACATTCTATCTTCTTGGTCACAGGACCCTGGAGGAGGCAGCTGAGTGTGGAAGTGAATTTTGGCTTCTCCTGAGAGAGCTGACTACTTTTCACCAGGCAATGTGGCCAGGGTGTTGTTCCCCTAGGTCATCGCATACCAAGCGTGTGGTTCCCTCAGATCCCCAATGGGAACTGGACGAGGGCAGGAGGATGCTGTCGACACACCTGTTTGAACCCTCTGAAGCTCAGGTCATAAGAACCATAGCCACAGCCATCTATCCTTGGAGGAAGGGGGCAGCTTACTCTCTCTGAGGTAGTGGAGATGTGAGAGAAGGATGTCGGCGTTGTAGCTGGGGGTGAGCCTCTGGAAGTCGTCCTTGGTCATCTTGCACAGTTCCTTCCCGTCGATGTTCTGGAATAACAAGATGTTGACGTCTGGAAGGCCATATTCTTTCACCGCCCACTCCAGCCACTGCCGCACATGGTCTGTACTCCATAGCGTAGGATCTGAAAGGGGTGGGAACAAATTCAGTCAATTCCTGAAGCCAGGTATCTGTGTCTTGGGGCAGATCCCCATCCACATGGGATTTCTGACCAGCTGCCTTCCACAAGCACGGCCTCCAACCAGCCTCCCTGGCTACCCAGGAGAACATCTTGGGGGAGAGACAAAAGTTGCCTCACATCCATAGATCATTGTTTTTAAAGTGAATTGTTCTGGAATCTTGGGATTATTCACATCACATGCCCTCTTTTTTGCTCAGACAATCTAAAGTTTCCTGTAGGCATGAGATTTTAAAAATTCTTTTTTTCTCATTTATGTCCAATGTTATTTATTCATTTGAAAATGAGTAAGAATAAGAGGAAACTTCCTTTCCTTAGAAAACTACTGGTATATTTATATGGAAATAAGAGTAAGCAACACGTATCAGGAAGGTGCTAATTACAGATCATAACAACAACAAAAATAATAATAACAGTATTTATGCAAAATACTGAAAAACACTGACCACAGAATCGGAAATGAAATATAGATACACCAAGACTTTAGCCCCTCCTATGAGCCAGCATTCGTCTCAGAGAGCTGTCTGTTCCAGACTTTTCCTGCAGGCTGTTCGGTTTTGCAATTAACCAGCACCTGCAGGAGTGGGGTTGGCGAGTGGTTTTTGCATTCCACAGCTGGCCATGGCAAGCACAAATACCCCACAGGATGCAGGCCACGTCGTCACACTCCACTGCCACCTATGGGACAGGGAGGGCAGGGCCCCGGGGAGAAGGAGCAGGTGATCTCCAACAGAAATGCCAGCCAGGATGTCCCGTGGTAAATACCCTCAGTGGTAGGATCTTCAGAGTGTGGTAAACGGGGCGGCTGCTCCCTTGGGCCCCAAGCCTTGAAAGACACCTGCGCAGAGAGCTGGAGCCCTGAGTTCTAATCCCACCATTTCTCCACTTTCTGGACCTTGCTGTGGGCAGCTATTTCTCCTTTCTGTGTCTGTCCCACCTGAAAATGAAGGGCACTGATCTCAGTTCCCTGGACAAGTCCTTGGGGGTCAGGCATGCCAGGGTGTTCCAGTCCTCTTGAATGAAAGTCAGGTGTGGGAGTCACATTTGAGCTAATACTTTCAGATCCTTGTTTGTCTGGTCCCACTAATATTTTAGGCTACTCAAGAATGGAGCATGTAGTATGCTGCTGAAATACATTTTTAGGTTTACAGAGGTAAGCCACAGTAATAGAGAGAAACAGCCAGCCAGTCATACACCCAGAGTTCTCTTCCTCTCCCTCCTTTCCTCTTCCTTCCCTCCCTTCTCCCTCCCTTTCTTTCCTTCAGCTACAAAGATGAAAGAAATTATTGCAGGTCCAGTAGAATCTACCCTTCCCACTCCATTCTCCTGCTGCAAACACCTATCCTGAAATTAGTAGCTAGTGGTTAGAAGTAACCACTATCCTGAAGTTAGTACGTGTATCACTCCTATACATATTTTAATATTTTTACCATTTAAACTACACATATTGTTTTGTGTTTTTAAAGTTAACATAAACGGTATCTGATTTGCTATTGTCACTCAATGTTATAATTTCAAGATGTAGCCAAGTTAAAACACAAAGATATACTCGATCATTAAGCAGCTCTTAGGCCTCCCCCACGTGAATAGTCCCAATTTATTTAGTGAATGTCCCCTGTCCATCTCCCCGCATACGTGTGAATGAGTCCACATTGGCCCACGGCCTGGGGTCCTTGTTAGAATTACCTGGGGAGACTGAAAAACTAGTGACGCCTGGTCTCCCCAGGGAGACTCTGTTTCCATCAGGCTGGAGGGCAGTTGGGCGTCACAGTTGATAAGAGCTCCCCCAGGTGACTCCAATGAGCAGCCAAGATTCAGATCATCTTCCCTGGACCTCACTACTCCAAGCATGGTCCTCCAACCGGGCAGCATTAACATCACCTGGGAGGTAATTAGAAATGCTAACGCTCAGGCCCCGCCCAGACCTGCTGAACCAGAATCTACGTTTTCACATGAAACTTGGGGACACGCTGGCCTCGGCTGAGTACCTAGATACGGGATTCTGAGTTATAGGGCACATGCATCTTCAACTTGACCAGCTAGCATTGGATGTCTACCAACATTTAAACACCCACATTTTCACTTAAAAATCAGCGCACAGGCTGGGCACGGTGGCTCACGCCTGTAATCCCAGCACTTTGGGAGGTCCAGGCAGTTGGATCACTAGGTCAGGAGATCGAGACCATCCTGGCTAACACGGTGAAACCCCATCTCTACTAAAAATACAAAAAAATTAGCCGGGCGTGATGGCAGGCGCCTGTAGTCCCAGCTACTTGGGAGGCTGAGGCAGGAGAATGGTGAGAACCTGGGAGGCGGAGCTTGCAGTGAGCTGAGATCAGGCCACTGCACTCCAGCCTGGGCGACAGAGCAAGAGTCTGTCTCAAAACAACAACAACAACAACAACAACAACAACAACAGCAACAACAACAACAACAAAAAATCATCAGTGCGCAGAACCTGAAGACTAAAGGAACTCTGTTTTGCTACAGAGAGAATATCAACAAAAACTCCAACGGCAGCGATGACAGAAAAGTGTACATATTTCTTTGTCATTCAAACACTTGGAAACATGTTGTTAGTCTGTGAAAACTGAATGTAGATATGGAAGGTTAATGTCATCCAGTTCATTGAAGTTCAGATGACTCTTTGTCATGGGGTGAGAATTTGGCTTTCAGAGATAAAATGTTTCATGACATGTCAGAATTCCTCTTTCTACAAAAGTGATCATACTGAGGTCTTAGGGCAACTTCTCTTTATCTTTGGTTCTGTGCAGAGGATGGTTTGCTCAGCCCTCACAGAGAGAAGACCCCCCCATCCTACCCATGTCATTCCCTATAAGTTCCATCCTCTGATCCTAGTCAAACCCACCTTTTTGGTTTTTTTTTTGTTTGTTTGTTTTGTTTTTTTTGCTTTGCTTTTAACAAAATGGGAGGACTATTTTTTTTTTTTTAATGTAACAACTGTATTTCCTAGAAATAAGTTCATTCTGGGAATAGATTTTTTTCTCTTAATGGTGGAACCGGATATTCTCAAAATGATACATACACATATTGTCTGAAAGCCACTAGGTTCATGTTAAACTGGTGAAAGGAGAAGTTTAATCTCTCTATTATCCCTTGGTGTGCCCCTTAATTGGTTTCATTCATCAAGCCAAGGGTTACCATGGCCCACTCAGTTTTCCTTTAAGGGAATCAGGTGCAAGACCCCACAGACCAAGTCCTCAACCTTTATTGTTCTTATCTCTACAAGTCTCGCTTTGAGTTGGTAAAAGGTTGCTCTGGAGTTCTGGAGTTCTGCCAGTATGAGTATAAATCACTACAACCTTTCTGATGAACAACACAACAATATGATACAACAATACAACACAACAATACAATCAAACGTCTTTAAATATGTGCAGATTCCCTGACTTAAACATTCCATTTCTAGAAATTTATCCTAAGGAAATAATAGAGGATGTGCGCAATTATTTATTGTCAAGGACGTTCTTTGTAGTGTTGTTTATAATAGCAAAACCTTGGAAACACCCTAAATGTCCAGCGAAAGAGAACTAGTTTTGTAATGCATTTAGGAATGTTCCTGTGATATTTAGAGACTAAAAATTACACTGTTGAAATATATTTATTGATATGATAAAATGTTCAAAGTAGATTACATTTTAAAGTTTCAAAATATTATTACGATACCATTGTATTTTGCAAAGATAAATAAATATCTGCGGAGAAAGAAATTCAGAGGGAGATACAGCAAAATGTCAACTGTTGTCTCTGAGGGAACGGAGATGGGGAATTTTAGACTTTTCATTTTCACTAAACTATATTTTCTCGTTTTCCTATAATAAATATGGAATACTTGGGTTAAAAATTATTTATTAAAAAAAGTATTCTCTACTTTTCAAAACCAAAACATGGTTTTACAAAGGGCTTACATATATATATAGTGTATATTATATATACTTAATGTATATTATATATACACTATATATATACCACCTATATATAATATATGTGAAAGTACTT